ATCGCAAGAGGAAAGAGAAGGGAATACTGAAGAGAAAAAAAAAAAGGGAAATTAATTTTAATTTTTTTAAAATTATTTGGATGGCGAGTAGCAGAAGCTATTACTCGATACCGAACTACCGATTTCTGTCGGGCGATCAACAACTGCAAGCGACGCGGAGGCATGACTCGGCGGCGGGATTCGAGTTTGAGGAGTCGGACATTTACAGCAACTCAGCCTCGACTCGCTCGGACTCGCCCGAGCTTCGTACTGGTAGTCGAGCAGCGAAAAAGACGTCGACGAAGCGCGGCGGCGGAGGAGGAGGAGGAGTAGTAGGAGGGGATTCCGGAGTGGGAGGAACGCCATCGTCGTTGCCGGTCAACATACCGGACTGGTCGAAGATTTTGAGGGAAGAGTACAGGGACAACCGGAGGAGATCGGAGAGCGACGACGATGACGTGGAAGGAGACGAGTGGTCGGAAGGAGGAGTTAGGATTCCGCCTCACGAGTTTTTGGCAAAGCAAATGGCGAGGACGAGGATCGCATCTTTCTCTGTTCACGAAGGCATAGGGAGGACTTTGAAAGGAAGAGATCTGAGGAGGGTCAGAAATGCAATTTTTGAAAAAACCGGGTTCGAAGATTGAAAACCAAAAATAAGAAAGAGTAAGCAATTTTAGATTCATATTTAGTTCCCCTAGAAAATTTTAGTCACTTCTTCTTCTTCCTCCTCCTTTTCTTGCCTTATAAGTTACAAGGGTTTCTTTTTTCCTTTTCCTTTTATCTTTTTGCCACTGTGATATGATCAAGAGGATCATTTCCATTCCTGTAATTCTAACTTCGAGCTTTCTATGAGATTTTGCGGAGATAAATTTTCCAAAATTCATATAAATTTATGCAGTCTGATTGATCTTCCATTTTCGAATTTGAAACAACTTTTTGGGTTCAAGGCTTTTGATGGCATATTGGTAATAAAATGGCAAGTTGGCTCGTCGGGTTAAATCATTGGCGGGGCTTGGGGTTTTGATATTGGTGGGGTTGGTAAAGAAAGAAAAATATGGAAGCGAAGGTCAGCAAGGACGACGGTCCCTCTTTGTAATCCCGTTTTACGTGTAAATTCGATTTCGTCGTGGATTCGAAAATATGTAACGGAAAAGTGGATAATTGGTAAATTAACGTAATAATATGGAGGTAAGGCAAAGATATTTGAGAGAGAGATAAGTTTGGATATGTCGGGATGAGTATTCGCCAACAGTTACTAAAAATTTTAATTTAGGTTAATTTTGGAGATTAGTCTCAAATCTAAACCTGGGATCTGGTAATTAATTGATTATCAGAGCAGTATATGTAATAATCATGTGTTTTTGGATGATAATGGGATTTAACTAACGTCAAAATAATTGAACGCATCATCGATCTGTGAACCTGCAATAATGGTTTGCGTAATTCGTCGCTGACTTGGTCGAGGGTAACGACTTACGTGGCGAACTGCTTAACTTTGGTCTGAAATTAATTCTTTTATTGAACTGGACCTTTGGATTTTGGACTAAAATTTCAAAGCATTTTGCGGATTGAGAGTTTTATATTTCTATCCTTAATCTCGTGGAAAATAAAAATTGTCAAGTCAATTGCTCTAGATATGTCAACTAGCAATCTGTTCACCTTTAAAAATGAATAGTGAACCTTACCAAATAAATTAAATTTGTGGTATGACCTACAATTGACTTGACCACACATAAATTAATTAATTAGTCGAACTCATCGTGAGGATTTTAATTTTATTTATCATTTTTATAATTAAAATAATATATATTAGTTAAATTTTTTATATAATGTTTTGATTGCATTACATTAGAAAATAGTCAAAACTTAAAAACTTTATATATATAAATATAAATAATTTATCCGCGTAGTCGTCTCTTATTTTTAAAGATTATGTTAATAAAAAGATATTAAAAAATTATGCCATTTTTTTCGAACTCAAAGGACAATGTTCTCTAAAATTTGCATTCAATTTTCCAACTTATGGTGTGTGAATCATTGTATATTTCCATTTTTTGGTACATGGCTAGTGAATATTACACTTATGCATGGCTTTGTACATTTTGCTCTCCTACTAACTTAGAAAGGAACTTATCCCATCTCCATTTATACCCAACAATAAATTTTCAACAATTGGTGTTCAAAACCCATCAATTCATACACCATGTCAAAGTGTTAGGATCATATTTTGGTCTTAACCCCAATTATAAAGAAGTTAGTAAACTTTAATTGACATACGTAAAAATATGCGTTAAGTTATATCAATTAATCATAGATGTGTTATGAATAATTCAAAGTGAAAATTGAAAAAGTACTTAAAACGCACGTAGACTAATCAAGAGAAGATGAAACTTATTTGTTTAATTGGATAATATAATTGATTCGATGAAAATTCATTAAATTTTTATCTGAACAGATTAAAATAGACAAATTAAGACATGAAAACATCCTTACATATCAAATCTTCCACGGACGAAAATTGTTTGGACAAATCTTGGCATCACATGAACTTTAACTTGATGCTAGGGGACATTCCAAGCCACTAAAAACCAATAATTCGTAAATCATAATTAAAAGGGGAAAAGGTAGAATACAAAAAGAAAAAGAAAAAAATAAAGTAACGCCGGTGAAAGAAAGAAACTAAAAGAGCAAACGACGAAAAAATTTGTGAACCGTTAGATTAAACTTTTGTTACGGTGATAAAGACAGCGACGGGTAGTTGACCATTTCTGTCGTCTAAAAACGGCTTGTGTGGGCGAGAGGGTTTTTTCGCGTTGCGTTCGCCCGTCGTTTTCGTCGCACGGTCTTTTTCGCCCTTTTATGACGACATGGGAATATGAAACTGTTTTTCTTCTGTAAGATTAGTCACACTGATATTGTCACCAATAGTCGGACAGTCTTTTCGTGCTGTAGCTATGACATGTTAGGTAAAGTCAGTGGGCCCAACCCAAAGAAAAAAGGTCTTGTGGGCCCATCGTAGATTAGTGATAGAAGCTCTAACAAAACTTTGAGCCTAAGTTCATTTTATATAAATAAATATATATATACATTTAAAAATTACAATACAAATTTATTTTTTATACCGTATAGATGTCACGGTTCATAATTTCAACTCAAAAAATATATTTATTAAATCAAAAAAAAATTTTATTTATAAGCTTTATACTTAGCTCATTTCTTATTGGTATTGAACTTATGACAAAGAAATAATGTTACAGTTTAATTTATAGATATTTACTCAAATTCTACCGTGTAAGAACAATTTTTTGTTTCTAAAAATTAATTGTTGCATCGCAACATTTTTATTTTAACCAGAATTATTAAAGATAGAATTTAGTATATGCTAAATATGAAATATTTTTGTTCGAGAAGCATTTAGGGTTTTATTTATTCAAAAAAAACAATGGGAATCAACCAAGTTATTAATTTATAGTGAAGTATAAGCCCATTTTGGGAGGAACAAATCCAGTATTAATATTTCTTTTTATTCACAAGTTGATTTAAAAGAGAAAGAGGAATCTTGAACTAAGAAATAGAAAGTGAATCCATCCACTGGTGTTAGAAGAGATAAAAAGTTTGGTTTGTGGGAACTTTATCAGATCATTAAAAGTGTCACAACTGAGGTGACAAACAACATAGAATTTTGGGTAAACTTTGATGGCTTTAATGGCAGAATATCTTTTGGTAGCTTAAACATTGCTTTTTTCTTTATTTTTTCCTATATTTTTTAATATATAATAAGCAAAGAGAAGAGCCCAAAATCAAAGCAAATTATGCATATATGCTGTGGGGGTAAGATGACTCTTTGTTCCCCCAAAAAGGCCATTTGGTATTATCTAATAGATATACTTAACACAAAATTCAAAATTTATTGAAATAATAATTAAAAAAATTCTTTTTTCTATTATCAATTGATTTTAAACATGTTAAAAATTTAACTCTCAAACAAACTTTATTGCTATGAAACTATCTTATGATTGATGATGCTAATTCTTTATGATATTAGTCTGCAAAACCAGATTCTGTCAGTTTAAATCCATGTCAGTGGAAGCTTTGGGTGACAGCATATATACCAAGATAATGAAAAAGCTATTCCTCTTGGAAAAAAAAAACGAATCTAAATTGGCTGAAGTTAATGCATTTCTGATGTTCAAGGGGGAGCTGACAAATCACAGCAATCAAATATGGTTTGAGGGTTGGACTTGGCATAAGATAAACCCATTCTGCCTGTTCTTTTCTTTATGAAAATCAAATAAAGTATCCACAAAACTTGTTTCTCACCCTGAAGTTTTTAACTTTGGCTCTTCTTCTTCTTCCCTAACTGGCTGGAACTGTACCCTGTGCTTTTGTTTTCCATTGTTTCATGGTATCTGATTCATTCACAGAGTTTGCTGACCTTCTTCTGCAAATGGAAAAGTGATGTCACGAAAGGGTTCTCCGGGAACCCAAATTTGGAAACAATGTCAGTGGTTGGAACTTGGAAAGCTACTAATAATGGAGGAAAAGGGTTTTTGGTATATGACCAAGTACGAAGCAATCTGGCAAAAGAGGTTGGGAAAAGAGGGTGCAGCTGGGAAATGGGCATATGACCTTATAAAGTTGGAGCCTAGGAGCAAAGTTGGGGGCCCTTCTTTCCAACCCTTTTTATGTGGGTTTACTTGGAGCCCAATAATTGATCATTAAAGGGCTCTTAGCTTTGTCCAATTATTTCATTACAATTAATTAATCAAAATCAAGAATTGTGTAAAATTTATCAAAATAATATATAATGATCCTATTTATAAATAGCAAGGCTTACGTATGAAAGTTTTATTGGAACTTGATTATATGATTTTTTATTTTATTTAATTAGATAGAAAAAGACGGGATATCAGAACATAAAATATTAGAATTTCGATGTCAAATGTGACAGTCATGCCCAAACCATGGCGTGGCTCGGGCCCAAAAAGCAAGCTGAACCGGCTCACTACATTTACTCGGAGACACCTACTAGTCAATCATCAGGAAAGAAGAAAATGCGGCAAACGAAGCAAAGGAAGAGAGCCAAAGAGAAACCAACCAAACGGAAGACAGCAAACGACGACTGGTAGGCAGCAAAGCTGAAAGAGTAGTAGTAGTGGTGGTGGTAGTGAAATCCAATCCCCGTAATACCAATTTTCCCGATTTTGCATTCGATTTCCAGAGGGGAGGTGCGGTAATGTCGTTGGATTCCAGCTCATCTTCGTCTTCTGGTGATGAGTACATCGAGGAAAACCCTAATTCTAATCCCAAAATGGTGGATGAGCGTTTCGAAGTGTTGACATTGACTGAACCGGTGGAATTGGAATCTAATCATATGGGAGATGGCAGCGACATCGTGAATGGATCGTTGAATCGGGAGAGAAACGGCGGGGACGAGGACGACGATCGGTTACAAGTGGAGAATCAGGAAATCTTCGGCGAAGAAGGGCCTTCGAGTCCCAGCAGCAGCGGGTACGCTGGGGAGAGAGGGAGCAGCAGCGCCACGAGCGCGTCGAGGGTCGATGAGGCGAGTGAGATTGATGATAATGAGATTCGGGAAGTTAGGAACGATGGTTCGCTCGAAGGAATCTCGGATTCTCAGGCCTCCTCCTGGGTTCCCGGTAAACGCCACGTCGATGAGGTAAGCCATTTGCATTTTCTTTTTTCTTGTTGATAATATAGAGAAAATGTTTGGTTTAGCTTGTTTTTATCCGAATTCACTGGTTGGTGCAATCATGGTCGTATATGTATTTATGAACTGAATTTTAGAATTGGGAATGTTTATGAAGTTTTGGATTATTAACGATTTTATTCTTTGAATGTTCATTTGAATGTTAGTGCTGTTGCCATTCATCGCCACGACTCCTAAAAAAAAAGAACGAAAAAAAGAAGAAGCTATTTTAAAGAATCCTTGCTATATTATGTCATGTTTGATTTATAAGGGAAGTGACAGGATGATGCTTCGATATCATGGAGAAAGAGGAAGAAGCACTTCTTTATTTTGAGTAATTCTGGCAAACCAATATATTCCAGGTTTGTCACTAGTTCCTAAGACTGCCGGCATTGTGCATAATGTGCGCAATTCAATATGGTCTGCTTACTTATAAATCCTAATTTATGTACTTCTGTATTTGACTTCCAGATATGGAGATGAACACAAGCTAGCTGGTTTTTCAGCAACGCTACAAGCTATTATTTCCTTTGTAGAGAATGGGTACTTGGCTGGATCTAGCTTACTTAGTTTTTAGTAATGATTCTTGTACTTAATCAAATGCAATTTTTTTGGGTTACTTTCTCCTTCAATGTCAGTTCTTTGAAGGATTTTTAATAGTTCATTCATTGCTTTTCAGGGGAGATCGTGTCAAATTGGTCAAGGCCGGAAAACACCAGGTACTGTTATATTTGCTTCTGGCTTGAAATTTATGTTTTTGAAGTTTTTGGCTCTGTAATCAATTGTTATTAGTCTACTTGCATTTGAACTACTTTCTCATTCACTTAGTCGTTAAGCTTTTATGTAGACCTTTTGAAGTTTTGCTTTTCACATATTGAATACTTTAGAAATAAACAGTGAGAAGCTGCAATATTGTATTAGTCTAATTATTTTCTTGATAAATTCATTAGAGGTGGTTGAACTTTAAGCCTCGAAATGATTCTTCTTATATTCAGAAAGGCATATTACTGGCAAGTAATTGTCTTTCAAAAGAAAAGTGAATGACATGATAAAACAATGTCCAATAGTAATAGAAAGAGGCACATTTACATGAAATCTGTCACTGTTGTCCTCATTAAAGAAACACATCTTGCCCAAAAACTGTCACTGTTTCTTATGCTTTTGGTATAGAATGCCTAAACATGAAAGGGCCTACTTTAAAGCTGACAGAATCAAGCCTTTTTTTCTGCTCAATTGAATAAGATATGCAATGACATATTTTTTTGTTCAGGTGGTCTTTCTTGTGAAGGGACCAATTTATTTAGTTTGTATCAGCTGCACGGAGGAGCCCTTTGAATCATTAAAAGGACAATTGGAGCTTATTTATGGTCAGGTAGCTCTTACAGTCTCCCTTGCAATCTCCACTTCTGGACTGGTTAACTTGGCTGCCACTGCCTATTCAAGGCTTGCAAATTTCCTCTGATTATTTTATTTTTCACTAATCATTATATGTGATCACCTCTATGTTTATTTCTTTATGACAGTCACCCAAAAGTACTTATCATACTCACTTTGATTGGTTATGAAATGGATGCAGATGATACTTATCTTAACAAAGTCCATAAATAGGTGCTTTGAGAAGAATCCTAAGTTTGATATGACACCTTTGCTTGGAGGAACAGATGTTGTTTTCTCTTCCCTCATCCACTCCTTCAGTTGGTGCGTTTTTATTGGGGTTTTTTTGCATGTCTAAATAATGTTGGAGCTCTCCTCTCCTCTCCCCACTTCTCTAACCCCCTTCTGCTTTCTTTCTTAACCTTTGAAAACAAATCGACTTGAGTTTTGACTTATATTAAGTCAATTGCAAGATTATGGTCCTGGTTGTTTAACCACTTGTTGCATTCTATCCCCAATTGAAATTGTTGGTTATGCATACACAATGAGGATAATATGTGTTTGTGTTTACAAATTTATGTTACTTGGTGTTATTGATGGGATGTGGTGTGAGTGCTAGTATTTCCTTTTCTTTTCCTTTCTTTTCATATTTGGCCTGGATGGTACCTGCTAAGCCTTTTTTTTTTTTTTTTGGCTTTTTCCAGGAATCCAGCCACATTTCTTCATGCATACACTTGTCTTCCTCTTGCTTATGCAACAAGGCAAGCTGCAGGTGCTATATTGCAAGATGTTGCTGATTCAGGGGTACTATTTGCAATACTAATGTGTAAACACAAGGTAAAACTCCCTCATCTTCTTTTACCTTTTTTTGCCCAGTAAGGAAGCTCAGCAACATTTTTTTCATTGTTACTTTCCAGTTTAACTCCATAAAATACTATTTTACTGACCTGAAATTAATTTCAGGTTATCAGCCTGGTTGGTGCACAAAAGGCCTCGCTTCATCCTGATGATATGTTGCTACTTTCGAACTTCGTAATGTCATCGGAGTCATTTAGGTTTGTAGAATCAACTTTAATAGGTCTTTAATCCCCTTTTAGTGGTTACCTCTAGAGCATTTGAAAGCATATGCCCTCAGAAGTACATGGAATATCATTGTTCTGTTTCAGTACCATCTCCTAAATAATTTTCCTTAGCAGTGTAGTGGAAAGCAGTAACGCTGACTTTTTTGGTTTGATAGTCGGAGGGTATTAAGTGGATTTCTAGCTAAACACTGTTTAGTCAATGAATAACCTCAACCCTGTTTTATCTAAATGGTCTTCCTATTATACCACATTGAATTCTTAAGTTCAGAAACCTTTTTGCATGCTACAAGCAATTAAGATTTTTTACTAGCTTTTTATCCCTCCAAAAATAAAAAAAGTTTTCCTAGCTCTGTTGTTGTTTTGTGGCACTCTTGATATCTGCAGTTTTAGCTGTGTTTATTATATATAAAAAGGTTGTCCTTAATAGCCCCATATTACATATAATTGGCCAAAATCAATGTCATGACAATCCAGAACTTAATAATCAAGTCTCAATTCTGTGTAGTCTTCTCTTTATTTCTTCTTTATTTTTTCCTTTTTATCTTTTCTATAACGATCAAGCAGACTTAATGTTGTTTTCAGGCTAATGATTTTGTTGGCTTTTTGTTCTTATGAGATCTTCATGCTTTATGCAGGACGTCAGAATCATTCTCACCAATTTGCTTACCAAGATATAATCCTATGGCCTTTTTATATGCTTATGTGCATTTTCTTGATGTGAGTGATACTTGGTTAACCATATGTTAACTTTATGCAACTTCTGCTACATACAATGCTGTAAATATGTTTGCCATATGGTGGTCATGCCAACAGCACAAAGATAACAAATCTACTTTATTGTGGCAGGTCGATACATACTTGATGTTGCTTACTACCAGTTCAGATGCCTTCTATCACCTGAAAGATTGCAGGTAAATTGAATTTTTCTAATTTGATCATGATATTAGTGAACTTAGCATATAATATTCCCATTTCCTTCATAAAATGACTGCATACGTTGAGGCTGAGCTATGTCTATCTGACAAGATGGAAATATAGCCAGATTTAGTTGTCTCTATGCCTTACTGGGAAAGCACTTCTTAGCTCTTTATGTAGAAATATAAATGTTTATTCTCTTCCTCTCTAGACTGTTGAGAATTTGACTGAAATTTTATAGGATTCGTATAGAAATGGTCCTTTTGAAGTCCAATGTTCTTAGCGAAGTTCAGAGATCAATGATAGATGGTGGGATGCGTGTTGAGGATTTGCCCATTGACCCATTGCCTCGATTTGGATCATCTCCTCATCTAGGCCACCAAAGACCTCCAACAGATTCTCCTGAGAGGCCTAGGGAACCATTTATTGGCATTGGTGGTCCTGCTGGACTTTGGCATTTCATTTATCGTAGTATATATCTGGATCAATATGTATCCTCTGAGTTCTCACCACCTCTTAACAGTCCCCGGCAACAGAAAAGGTAAAATTCTTAATCTTGTGCCAGTTCAATTGCTTCTTTCATATTGAATCTATTGTATTTTGCTTCGTGGTGGTTAGTTGGATAATTGGTTTCTTGTTATGCAGATTGTATAGAGCTTACCAGAGACTGTTTGCTTCCATGCACGATAAAGGAATTGGGCCCCATAAAACTCAGTTTAGGAGAGATGAAAATTATGGTAATTCTCTCTCTCTTATTCAGTTTTTCTGACATCTGAACTGTAACTAAATAGCTGAAAGTTAACTTTGTTACGTTTTTATTTTTGTTTTGCTGCTTGAATGTCCTTTCTGCATTCAATATTTACGCTTTTTCAATGTTCTCTGGTTAATGGACGACAGTTGCTTATAGCTACACAGTTTTTATTTTGCAGCCTTCATTAAATTAATGTGGTTATTTTTATGTGTCAGTTTTACTCTGCTGGGTCACACAGGATTTTGAACTCTATGCAGCATTTGATCCACTTGCAGACAAGGTTTGCGTTTGCATATAATATATCTTTCTCATTTAACCTTGTTCAAAGTTCAAATCACGTCTTAAATACATACTGAATAGTTTTTCTGTACAAAGAGCTTTACAGTTTCATTTATGTTATGTGCAGGCTCTAGCCATAAAGACTTGCAACCGGGTTTGTCAATGGGTAAAAGATGTGGAAAATGAGATCTTTTTGCAGGGAGCAAGCCCCTTTTCATGGTGACATGTCCATTGTGTAATACAGAATGTACTCTTAGCTTTTTTAACTCACACATTCCGTCATAGTAATTTTTCTCCCCCATACACCTTAGAATTTCAGGATACCCCTAGTTAGCTGGCCAATTGAATGATTCACCTTCTAAAGGTTTGTTCGTTTCTTTTCTGTTTCCTTTTAAATAATTGGGTACCATAATAAATCATAAGTTGCAAGAGAAATTCCAAATTATGCACTTTCTCTATCTTTATTTAACTGAGGCAGTACTTTGTATCGGTTTGGTTTGGTTTGGTTGATAGATCTTTGGTGCAATAGACGTGACAAAATTAGCTCTTCAAGTGCCAAATGCTGTATCATGGTTTACAACTTGTTAAATATTTGTTTTTCTCATGTTTTATCATTCTTTAATTTCTGTCTTTTTATCTTCTTTCTTTTTCTTGTCCCTGGTCTTGATTTTTATAAATTTAAAGAATGCTTCCACCATGCGCCTTTGTTCTTTAGGTGAGCCTTCGATCATGCGTGCATGACTGGAACAAGGGCATAGAGTTCCGGATGGTGAGGTTTGCGGATGGCCGCAGCATCAAACAGTCATCATTTTCAGGAAACCCTATCACTTTTCCTGACACTTATTCCAACACCCATAAGTCTAAAAACCAAGAATCTACTTCCGTTGTTGTCTTATTTGGACAGAGAAACTGAACACTCAGGATTAGGTTGAGTTTCCAGGTCAAAAATTCTATACATCTTGATGATGATTGCAATCCCAAACTTTAGTTCAATCCTTATCTTTTTCACCTCTTCATCTAAAACTACGGCTTCGAAGCCTTGTATCCATCTACCCATCTACCTAGTCTCTGAGTGAATTCACACTTGGTTTTAATGGCAGAAACCAAATCAGTTCTGGGTTTCTTATTCTTTCCCCAACCTTTCTACCCAAAGGTAATAAAAGAGACGTGGAGAGAGTGCGTCAGAGAGCAGTGGGTAAGGAGATAAAACCAAGGCATTTTCAATGAGGCAATGGTCATTCTGTGAAGTGAATTTATTGAAGTTCAGTAAAACTAAATGCCACCCACTGCCTGCAATTCTTAGAATACAGAATCCTCTCTCTGTTTATATATAAAGGAAAATAATTCCCACGCCTTTTGCATTTATTAGGTTTGGTTTTGGCCTTTTTGTTTCATTTTGTAGAGAATTCCTTTGGACATGACATTCTCATACTTCACCTTTTGCCTCCTTAAAATGCACTTCTTCTATTTCTTTCGTGTTTTGATTGGCTGATATACTTACTAATATAATATAATATAATGCTTTGTTGTGAAATAATTAATATATAACGTATAATTTTAAATTACCTCAATTACAACAAAAATTACTTTGATTTTAGGTGAAGAAAATAATACATTACAAATTTTCTCTACGGGTATTTATAGGTCGGAAGCGTTGTAAAATTTTTTAATTATCAATACTACAAAATATATATATTTTTTATATATGTAATTAAACAATTATTCGTTCAAGAATCTTTTTCTATATACATCAAATTATTATATCAATATAAGAAATTTCAAATAATAAATAAATTCTCTATCATAATCACAAACTATATAAGAAAATAATTACTCACTAACATATTCTATAATGACCTGATACATATTTTATTTTTTAAGTAATTAGCAGAAACAAATCAAAAAAGAAATTAAAATTTTAAACTATATTTTTTTGATAATATAATCAAAATCATAGAAGTAAACAAACGATTTAATTACATTAAATCACACCCACAAAAAAAATAATAATAAATTCTCCGACTAAAGAGAAAACGTAGAAGACCATCTGAACTCTGCTTTGAATAGAAGACCGTGTTTGGTTTTTCATTTAATGCAAAAATTAATTGAGCCCCAAGGACTTTTTCGCCGTTCTTCATTTGTTTTTCCATCTTTAGATTTCGTCAAAAGCTATTGAAAAAAAAAAAAACTAAGAGGTTTATATTCAATTTGGATTAAATAAATTTAAAAATAAAAAATTCTTGAAATTAAATATTAATTTTGAAAAATTTACTTTTACATGTCTATGAAGTGATATTTCTGTGATTAAATGATAATATATGTATTATACATGAATGATATATCAAAAATAAATAAATAAATAAACAAAATCAAATACCCTCCTTAAAGCTAAGAAGTGGCATTTTCGTAATTTCAAATTAGTCAAACTTCATCAATTTCGGAGATTATCATTACTATTAAAGTTTGTTCCCCACTCACCTTGTCCATGATAATGAAGTCTTAGTACCTTATTATATTTGACTGAATGACCATAAACTCCCTCGTAGAATCATACCCTATCTTGTTGCATCTTGGAGAATATGAGAGGGTAAATCCGTAATTTCACATCCTCGATATCGGAGATCCTAGGGTCCTCTGACTCAGGGGCATCATCATTTATAAAAGGAGGTTGCGACTAAGGTGTGGAGGCCACCGCATTTCATATTGATGGGGAAAAGAAAATTTCCCCCAATTATAGTTTGGTTCATTGGGAGGGGCACGTGACGGATCATTTAATGTCACGTGATTGACTCATAATTTAGACTATTATTATGAGATAATTTAAATTTTTGGTACTTTTAATGATTATTAAAAATATTTATTTTTAATTAAAAACTTTAAATTACACAATAAAAGAGAATTGTATTCGTTTTTGACATTTATATTATTTTAAATGAAAAATATGTGTGAGCCATTCTCAATTTTCAAGTGTCTCAAAGCCATGAAGTCAAAAAACCCATTGCTAAATTGACAAGAAGTTGTATGAGGAGTGTACCAATTGCAAAGTACAAAAAGGAAAATGATAGTAGTTTGACAATGCAACTTTCAAAGTCCACTACTATTCTCCACTTGTAATTTTTCTTTTATTCAATGTTGAATATGTTTTTTAAAGGGCAGAGAATATTATTTGATCTATTATTGAGATATCTCAACTATTATCAAAGATTATTACTCCTTCGGGTTCGGGTTTTTTATATTTTATAAAAAATCAAAAAAATAAAACAATTATATTTGAAAAAAATTATCAAAAATATGAATAAAGAAAAACGAATGGAAAAAATACAAAAATAAATATTTAAAAGTGATTATTGCATAAAAAATTTAGGTTACTATTTAATTTTTTCAAAAGTTTAACCTAGGTTGCACTTAACCTTAAAATTTCAATGACTACTTTATGATAGGATCTTTTACAAGTATAGGCAATCTCATGCTTAATAATTTGACCTTTTTTTTAACAATAAAAAAAGAATTCTTACTCATTAAACACAATTGATGGGCCACTTTATGGCACCATTAATGAATTATGACATAATTAAGTACCCACCAACAATTTGTCCCTCAAACCCATTTCTCATTCAAACCCCCCCATTCTCCTCACTTAGAAAAACAGCCACAATTTTCCTATAAATTTACAAATATCAATAATCATAACTACACATTAAATGAATGCCTTTTTTTTTTCTTTTCTATTTGTGGTGGAAACCCCATTTTTCATTTATCTTTATTTTGATTATTTTTCTTCAAATTACTCATTAATTTCTAATAGCAATAAGGTCCCTACTGTGATTAATTGGCCTTTGGACTGTCTAGCCAGACCTAGCATGGCAGGGTTTAAATAGCCTCAATACTAGTTTGAATTGAATCATCTTTATTTTGAGATGTGATTTTCACACATTCAAAGTCATCACACCTTGGAATCTTTTAGAAAATTTAGTACTTTGTATTACTTTCCCTTCCCCCTTATTTTACATGTACTTCTCCTCTCGATTTTTCAAAACATCCGTTATATACGAGCTTAAAGTTTATATTCAATACATTGTTAATATATAAAATCAACAAATTCGAGAACTATAAATACCTAGTTACGTTATTTTGAAACATACGCTCGAACGATATCGAAAAAAAACAAAAGATTTGAATTTTGTGTCAGTTACTTTTTATTTGTGGGGGGTTGTTTTAAATATTACGAGTTTATAGACGGTTAAAAAGATTATTATTATGAAATTTTGTAGATATCAAAATATAAATTTTTATAAATATTAATAATTTTGATTTGAGTTTAATATATAATTTTATAAATTATAAAAAAAAAGTACAAACAAAATCAGTGGTTAAATAAATTAATTAAGTGGTAATTAAATTAATAAAAACTGGGAAAAGAAAATGAGTATAAAATCTAAGAGGGGAAAAAGATCACATCCATGCAGCCTAACGTTCAGTTGACTCCCAGGGATAAAATGCAATATATAATAAATTCCACCATTAAAATACACTCTCCCTAAAAGGCAAAGCCTCTCCCTCTCCCTCTCCGTCTCCCTCTCTCTCTCTATCTCTTTCCCTTCCCACTTCACAAAAAAAACTTCACTTTTTCCTTGTTTTTATTTGGGTTTTTTCTCTTCATCTTTCTGGTTGTTCTTTTTTTCCTTTTTATTTGTTTGTTTTCTGCAATGCAAAAACCCTAAAAACCTTTATCTTCATCGGCCCATTTCCTATCTCAACCCGACCCGATCTGGGTCTGATCCCATTTTCTTCTCCTGTTTCAACACCAGAGAAAGGAAACCCAGATAAGTTGTTGAGACAGAGATTAGGGAGGAAAAGACGTATACTTAAAAAGGAGTGAAAAGGGTTTTTTTTTTTTTTGTTTTTTGGTTTTGGGGAGAGAAAGAGAGGGGGAGAAATGTACAAGAACCAGCTACAAGAGCTGGCGCAGAGGAGCTGCTTTAATCTTCCTTCCTACACGTGCATTAGGGAAGGTCCAGACCACGCGCCGAGGTTCAAAGCCACCGTTAACTTCAACGGGGAAACCTTTGAGAGTCCTCACTACTGTTCTACGCTCCGTCAAGCTGAACACTCCGCCGCCGAAGTCGCCCTTCAGTCCCTCTCTAATCGTGGACCTTCTCACTCTCTTGCCGCCAGAATCCTAGTAAGTTTTTTTTTCCTTAAGTTTTCGCTCACGTACACCTCTTAGTTTAGGCTCAAATTTGGGTTTTTAAAGATTTTTTTGCTAAGCTGAGCCGTGGGTTGGTTATCGGAGTTAACCTTGTGCAGTGGCCTTGATCGCCGGAGATTCGCTTGAGGTGAAACATTGGGTGGTGGGGGAGTCGAAATGACTTGAATGCCCTTGGGTGGTTAACCAATTAGCACAAGGCAGTAGGATTTTCTTGACTTTTTGAGGTGACGAAAGCGAAATTTTAATTAATTTCTAAGTGAAAATAACAATGGGAACTGGGGAAGTTTCCGTGTGAGAGAAACGTGCTAGTGACATTATATCTATGATATTTAATTTTTATTT